CAAATACCAGAACTTCAGCAAAAAATGGAGAAGTTGTTCAGAGGAAACAGTTAGCCATTCTCATATCTTTTTAAAGCCTGGCACTCAGCATCAAACCATATATGAGGATCACGAAGCTTCATATATCTGACTGGAACTGATGTTATTTACCATCCCCTAGCCTAGCCACTTAGCTAAACCATCAAAAATCCAAATCAAGCTTCAGTTCACCACATTGTAACACAGAAGCTCCAAGAAGGCGTATGGTGAGAAATGCAAGTTAAGCTATACTTACCTGGGATCTATTTTATCCCATTTTAAAGCTCCGTACAAGGAATCTTGATTGTCAGTGGTGTTTGAAATATCCATTCATCCAAGCCAAGTGGGAACTTGGGCCTGGTGAGGAAGGGGACCTACCCCTTCAGTTTCTACAGTACTGAAGCGTACAGCTGCTGGTAGTTAGTGTAGCACTGACTTCAATGGAGCTATTACCCTGATTTACACCAGCTAAGAATCTGGTTTTAGAGCTTCTAATGATTTGGGGGTTGGGAAAATATAAAAAAGCATCTATAGGGGTGGGCTTCTCACCAGGGTGCTAGTCCTGGAGTTCACAGTCTGGATCCCCCTTTTGTGTCTTTCTTAGCTAGTAGGAAATGCAATACATTTCATGCCCTGATGATACCCCTTCTCTCTTCTAGGCCATGAAACAGACTTGTTCTTTATCTCAATAGTGAGGGCTTGTCTTCACTATGCAGTGGATTGATTGATCCACCAGTGGTTGATTATTCTGTCTAAGCAGATGCAATATTGATCGCCGAGGAGTCTCCCATTGACTCCAGTACTCCACCAGGGTGAGAAAAGTAGCCAGAGTTGACAGGAGAGCAGCACCAGCTGATATTGAGGCACAGAAAACACCACGGTAAGTTCTTCGTTATGCAGGTTAGAGCAACGGGTGTTTAATTTAGACAAGTCCTGAGAGACTTTGTTAGTTGTTCCCAGCTACATCTGCAACAGTCAGGATACCAAAATGCTTCCTCTTGTTCAGGACTCAGATTGTATAACTGATCGTAAGTGAAACGTCCATCCCTGCCTGCTCTTCGTTTCTGAATTCTCATTGCCTTATTTACAAGTTTCTAGAGCCCAGTTTGGGCTGGAAAAATGCACAAACTTTATTCTGCAATAAGTGCTCTCTCCTGTAAGATGTCACATGCTTACTCAAATTTGCTGGCTTGTTGAAATGTACTAAGTGCTTATCAGGGGAATAAAAGCACTCCAACCTAAATATCCCAGGCCCATTTTCCGAACAAGATAATCCTGTTTCATCCAGTATGGAATCCTGGGCCCATCAATGTTGACGACAAAAAACCCATTGACTTCCATGGGGCTAGGATTTCACCCAAAGTATTGAAATGTCAAAATTCCAAATGCACTGAGCCTAGTAGTTAGAATGCGTATTCTAGGAAACTATGGTCACCAATGACACTGTAACCACTGCTTTCACAGTTACACCCCAGCATTTTTCCACCTTCACCAAACCCTGCACCAGCAACTTCCAGAACCTACACAGATTAAATCAAGGAGGAAAGCCCACAATGGAACAAAGTGGGGAAATGAGAGCTCTGCAGTTTGCAGGTCATATTTATTATGGGACAAAGAGCTACAGCAAACACCAACAGTCTCCAGGGATATTCCTTGCACAGTTGAGCATTTAGATAGGCTGATGAAAGATTAATGTTTGAAGACAGCAGTACAAGATTGTATAGGATATTAAAATAATGTTAAAGTATTTCCTTATAAAAATCAAGTGTCCTGTACTTTCTAATGAGTTCTCTGCATTTAGCATTAGGCTCTGTTTTTACAGAAAGTTACATGTTGGTAATTAATCTCATGTTCATTTCCTGCACATGTAAGACAGCACCCTTTGTTAGGGAATGATAAGACACTTCTAAGAATAGTAATACTAAGAGTGTTAGCTTTGAGAGACATTACAGGAAAAATACAGACTCCAACACCTGTTTTTTTAGTTTTACCAGGCTACAAAATAATTTTATCCTTATTTACTGCCAAATACTGACTTTGTTCATGCTCACAAAACCTAATTAAGTTTGTTGGGTACAAGCGTCAGGCCACGTCTGCACTACGGGTGCTACAGAAACACAATTACACTGCTGCTATGTTGCTATAATTCCCATATTGTAAACACTTCCTAAAGCAACTGAAAGGGATTTTCTGTCATTGTAGAAACTTCAACTCCCTGAATGATGGTAGCTAGTTCAAGGGAAGCATTCTTCTGCTGGCCTAGCTGTATCTACACTGGGTTAGGTCGGCATAGTTACAGGACCCCACGATATAAGATTCATATCTTTGAGCACAGTAGATGCATTAACCTAACTTTTAAGTACAGACTGTTTGGTCCCAATCCTGCAAAGATGTACACATATCCTTATTTTACACTCTGCAAGTAATCCCAGTGGCATACTCACAATGAGTAATATTAATGCACAAGTTTGAATTTGGGGTGAGGTCTATTCCCTTCTCAATATACCTTTCCTCCTTATTCCATTGAAGTCACTGAGAATTTCCCAATGGTTGGAACAGATACAGGATTAGGAACCACTTGGGTGTATAATAGGGAGAGTACCTGACCCTATATGGCCCTCATACTATACTCAAATCAGTGTAACCTGGGAGCAACACTAAACTTCCATGTAGAGTATACATTCTGACAACCAGACACAAAGAGTGGTGCAAATCTTTCAGATTAGTATATGGTTTCTGTCCACAATCAGAGCCTACAACACTTTGCAGTAAGCAGTTTGTTACTATTCCTAGCAAAGTCAATTCAATTAGTCATTCTTTTAGCATTCTGGGGGGTCTTTATACCAGAAAATATTGGTGATGAAACCATAATATATTTAAAAAATCTTTTAATGTGCTTTGAGCGCTATGGATGAAAAAATGCTGTATAAGAATTAGATATTACACTTGTATGTCTTTAATCCAGCAACCTTGGGAAATAGGCTGTGCCGGATTATGAAATTTTCTGGATCGTGGGTGTTCGCCATAATGAAGGATAAATAAATTGTGTCACTAAAGCTTTTGCAAGTACAAATCATTATAGAGTACTGCACATGTATAACATGTCATAAGAAAACCTTAATGCACTGTATTTAAACTGCTATTGGGTGTGGGGTCTTGGAGGGCCATGCAGGGGTCTGAATCATGGTGTTCTCGGATGACAGACACTTGGATTAAGGAGGTTCAGGTGTTAATTTATTACCAAAAATTATTCACCATCCACACAGGGATAAGAGAAAGGGTGTTAATCTCTGTACTGAGGGCAGATTTGCATCTGCTTTACTGTGAACAAGGCAGCAGTTTATCCCTTTGAGGAGCAAACAAACATTAATCAGGAGAGATCCAGCTAATCTAATGGCTCAGGTTTGAGGAATAGAGTAGACTCGATTCCACTGAGGTTTGTAGTGCAAAAGTCTAGGACAGCTTTTGCAGATTGCAGCTAGTTTTGTGAGCTGATCACTGGCCTTGCTGTGACCATTATATTGACTGTATAAAGGGGGCTTTCAACTCACAGCATTGTCACATTCTGTTTTTTCTTCCTTGCCTTTTTATGAATATTGAGTCATCAAAAATAGTTTCACTAATACCAGTTTCTAATGCTACCAGCTGGATGAATCAGTGGCTTATACACTGTCTAGTGGTGCCTGCTGCAAATCAGTCTTAGTATGCTATTTATTACAGAAAATACTACAAAAACTAGATTTCCCTATTTAAATGCTGCTCTCTCAAGACAGACTTCAAAGACAAACTGATGTTAAGAATAAGTTGGATGTCAGTTTTATCGTCAGTAAATTACTTTGTTTTTAGAAGTCCATTGCAAAAGAGCTGTGATTTTATTCTTCCCAAGACAGAGCAGTTCCCCATATTACTAGAAAAAAGCTAGCATCAGCGATCCAGAAAAAAAATGCTAATAAACCCACGCAAATATGACAAATGATGTAAGCCATGTAAATGGCTACAAAATTATGACAGAAACATATGGTGGCATCCTTCTAGTCTAGGGAAGTGCGCTAGGGCAAGAGAGATGGAAAGTGCATTTCTTAAGTGAACATCACACAGTTCCAAGACTGAACAATAACACGCCTGAATAAGGATTTTCATAAATGTGCAAACAAAATGGCCCAAGATGGGTTTAAGTTTAGTGCTGTTCCAAGCAAATTTAAAAAGGAAAAAAAGTCATTTATTTCTGCCTGGAATGCCTTCCCTGTAGCCCTGGAGTGATACAGTTTCCTATGTTTGTAACACACACCCTTCCCCCCCCCCTTCAGAAAAACAGGCAGATAGAAAATGAAACAAGAGGTCCCCATTGCTGCTATCCAGGCTTGGAAATCCTGGTTTTGTTTTGCTTTGCTTGGTCCATTTTACCTAAGGACCATTTGCAACTTTATAGCAAGACATCTCCTATCACGTCTTTATGACAGGCAAAAGAGTAGCTGTGTCAATGCAACTGAAATGGCAATTTGGTAAACAAAAAATGTTAACAGGCATTCACATTGTCAAGTGTCATTACCAGCACATAGCCTCTTAGCAAAACATGTCATCCTACTTCAAGCAAGGAGTTAAAAACATAAGGACAGTAGGTTCTTCTCAGCTTCTGAACAAGATACCTCTGAGTGACTGTTACAAAACTGTTATAGTTATGGCAACATTAACTGAAACTGAAATGTGGTTTAAACCTAAGCTCTGTTGCATAACATACAATTTAAGTATTCTGATCTAGCCAGCCGCAAAAGGTTCCTTTTAAAAAGTGACAAAAATGTTACTGAAAATTAAACTGCTTAATACACGCCTAGACTTTTCCCTTATTGTTTTGGTCCTAACAAACACTTCTATCAACGACACATTTCAAAGCAAGAGTTAGACACGGAGCAGATGCAAAAAAAAAAAAAAAAAAAAAAGCTCTTGGATGGAAGGAACAATATCAGGAGAGCCGCGTTACTTACATATCGCTTCAGTTTCTTTTCGGGGGGCGATTTAATGAGCCATCCAGTGCACACAACGTCCCCCGAGCTCATCTTCCCCCCCTCTCAAAGAGAAGGGACACGGCACCCAGGGTGTGTGTGTGTGTGTGTGTGTGTATTGCACCTTCCCAGCCAATTTGAAACTAGCAGCAATCGGCTTCCTTCAGCTGGGTTCCAGCGCTGCTACCGCGCAAGGAGGAAGTCACAACATTGATCGCGGCCCCAGGCAGCTCCCCCCTCCCACTGAAAACACAATGCAACACACCGAGCACGTGACGGGCCGAGAGGCCAGGGATAAACAAAAACAAGCGTGTGCCAGTGTCCCACACTGGCCCTGAGGCGGGCAGAGCGAGCTCTCCCACGCCCCACCCCTGGGGGCACCAGCGGCCCCCGCGTGTCTCCCCCCGGAGCGGGCGAGGCAGGGGGGGGACGGACACGCAGCGAGGCGGGGGAGCCGGTGCAGGGTTCAGGGCGCGCCGCCC